TGGATCCTGATGTGAGCGGTCGAGTGGAACTAGAAGTACCTATTGGTTTCTGTGTAGATGATACGCTTGACGATGATGATCGGGTAGTTGTGGCATTCGAAACTAGCGACTGTATGCTTGTCGGCCCCGAGGTAAGTGGTCGAGTAGAATTCAAACTCACGGTTGATGTCTTTGTGGGTGATGTGCTTGTCGATGTAGGCCGAGTAGATATCGTAGTTGAACTTTGCATCGATGTAGTATTGGTTGCTGGTGATGTTCGCAGATTTGTTGCCGTAATAGAAGTTGTCGTGTAGATGATGGTTGAGTTTCGAGGCATGGGAGATGTGGTCGTGGATGTTTGGAGTGTGGAAGCTGTAGTTGTAGAGTTCGTAGCATTGGATGATAAGTTCGAACTGTTAGCATACTTAACCATGCGTGATGTTTTCGTCAGGATCCAGCTGTCATATGTGGCGACTCGAGTGTATACTCCCATGTATTCGGGTAAGGCGCATCCAATGCCATAACTGGTGATACCAACTAGTACCCATTGCTTGCTATTCGTATACATCATTACAGGACCGCCTGAGTCACCTTGGCATGTATCTATCGAAGTGGAAACGAGATAATAACGTAATAAACATGAAAGAGGCAAACTTACCCTTGCCACCACCGAGTACTCCTGCGCAAAACTGCTTGTTTTTATTGAATATGACGGAGCTACATGTATCGTCAGTATATGCGACCGTCTGTAATGTCACCTGTTGTAGAGCCGCTGGAAGAGATCCGCTCATGGCTAGTGTACCCCAACCGATGGCAACTACCTGTGATAAAAGTACTTTTTATGGAGTATGTACAGAACTATAAAAGTAACTTACGTTGGTACCGGGTAACGGCCACTCATTGTTTAGCAAAGTTGTCATATCGACACGGGGCATACAAATTTGCTTCACAGTTGGATCAAACATGTTGAGTGGGTCGGCGAGAAAGAGGAGAGCGATATCGTTTTCGAAAGTATTGGGATCGTAGTTTTCATGAACAATCACATTGCTTACTGTCCGAGTCTGTTTTCCTGCCCAATAACGATTTGAACCTGCATGGACTATAATTTGTGATGGATTTGTTTCCATACAATGCGCCGCTGTGATTATCCATGAGCTCGATAAAATAGTTCCACCACAAAGAAAAGAATTGTCGATCTGCAAAGACACAGCCCAACTCCAACTATTGACCAGCGCAGTTTCTCCACCAACAATACGACTGAGTACCACTGATTTCATAGAGCATCCACATTCTGCCTGTGAATCGCAAGCTATGGTGGTTTGACCACTGCACAGTGGAAGGATCAGAAATATTGTCAGCACGAAGAAATCAAGCATAGTGTCTCGCATGTAGTAGTAGAACGGTAGTTTTTATATGTCGTGTTTTTCGTGTTCTCAATCCTTTTTACGTATGTCAAATGTGAAAGCAGCTTCTTATTTGCTCACTTCAGTCGATTGAAAAATACGGTCCTCTTATTCTTTTGTATTTTGAGTTCCTCCGTTTCAGCAGTATTTGCATTCATTCATGCTTGTTGAAGTGATGAATCAAGACCATCTACGAAAATAAGATTGACATAAATCTTGTTTTCATTACAAACACCACGTCTGTTTTTCGCATCCACAGGTATTCATATGTTGATATATGACTGCACCGCTTCAGGCAATATTTTCGTAATCACTCTAAAAAAAAAAGGTATTTCGCCGAACCCCTGAAAAAGGTTCCGGATTATTCGGCAAAATACCGCTTCTTTTAGGGTGATCTAACTTAATGAGTTATACGATGTTGTTGGAGACTGTCATTGGAGATGGATCATGATAAATAACATATACTGTGCGGGAATACATAGTCGATGGTGCCACACCTCTATGCCTTGAATAGTTTTTTTTACTGCTTCTTAATTGAACTTATTCTATATAGCATTTTCTGACAAATATTTCACTACATCATCATCGACAGTCAGTTTTCGGCGAACTTCGGTGCCAATTTAACGATGTCTACCAATCGTTTTTAGAATGCTGTTTAGATGATATCATCATTAATGCAAAAAGAGATCCATGTTTTAGAAGAATATGAGTGCAAGTGTAGGTTTGGATGGACGTGTGTGTGTGTATGTTTAAAGAAACGACCCACATCCATATGTGTATTCGTGTCGTGTATAATGGCCTGGTGAGCTGCTATTATACATAAAGCAACTGATTTTGTAGTATTTCAGCCTAAGATAGTGCCTCTATATTTCTGATTAGATTACGATGAAAATGAAGTTCCCCAAATGTGTGTGCGAGCAAAACGCAACGCAAGATTTAACAAATAATGTGGACTTACTCCTTTATGAGCTGTATTTTTTAGATATTGCATTGACATTTTTATTCACATACTTCAAAAATTTTCGTCACGAACTGTGAGACATAGTTCAGAAAATGACAAATGTGTCTCATGTACTTTTATGTGAGCAAGGAGGGAAAAGATCATTACAATCAAAGCAATCATTGGCAATCCTTAGTAACTCACGGCAATCATCAGCAATCATCGACAATTATTAGTAATTAATAGCAATCAAGATTTTTTAAAGTAAATCTTACAAAATACTCATCTTGTAAAGCCTTCATCACATTAGAATATCCACATAATAGAAGACCTCTATGATATATGAAGCAGAAGACATTTTAGAAGACCATCCTCTGATAATCGATTCCTTAAAAATAATTCCTACAATTTATTGATGTTTAGTGGATAAGTCCATTATAATATCTACGTGCAGTATGGACAATATTTTGCTTCCATCGTCATAGTGACATGTCAGTTCCGAGTTAGAAAAATCTTAAAAAAACAGCTAATAGGAAACAACAGTCTATTTAAAAATGCGTTCCTCTATTGAAAAATATTGTTGAGTCATCTTCGTGCTCTTTTGCAGTATAATCTGAAAAAAAAAGTTCTTTAAGGTCTCTATACGAAAAAACGTTCTCATGATCATAAGACTCAGTTAACGCAGTGTACATTCGCATGGATCACACATGATGAGATCTTTGTAAAATGGAAACATATTCAATAAACTCCCGTTGGATATTAATTAAAAGACTTCATTACCTTTGCACATTTTTCTAGGAGTTCAAAAGCGCTTTTATCACAAAACAGCATATTCATCATTGAAGAAAGCATACTCTCAGGTATACACATTAAGGTTTGTTCTGTGTAGTACTCTTTATGAGCGTGAGAACGTATATCTATTCACAAAAAGATCTATAGATATTTTTCGAAACAGACGCTAAAAAATCACTAAATCAGTATTTAACTGCTATTTTTATATAAACTGTTTCTTCGCAAACAACCGCGTTCATTCAAGTTGGCTTGAAACTAATAACTATGCTAATGGTACATTTCACTATGAATGAAATCCACCTAAACCACTCAAATCTCAACATAAGCAACTGACTTCAATCAGTTGAACGAAAAAAGTCGATTTTCCTTCTTCCATTTATTTAGCTATTCAGAAGGTTAAATGTTGCCAGCGGTAGATCTTATTCTTTAGAAAAAACGATGCTATTCGACATGATACCAAGCTATTAGGATGCAGTAACTGTATTATTCTAAGAACACTCTTCTTACCAACGATTGTATCCCTTTTTTTTCACAAGATACACGGTGATCCAAAAGTCTTGATCGTTCTTAGCAAAAATTGCTCGTTCTACCTTATTACAAATTCAAAAATGCTTAAAATTGGAGGTCTGATCCCTTGTAAATTAGATGAATATTACCATAGATTTTCAGCTCTCCAATCCTTATTATAAGGAAGATATATAGGTTCGTATGATAGAGAAGACTTCTTTGCCATGTCCTAAAATTAAAATAGCGAGATGTTACATAAAAAGAATAAAAGAAAAAGTAAAAAAAAACAAAAAGACATCAGAATGATGAAATATTAAGAGAGGCATAACGAATTGAATTATATCTTAAGTTTAATTAGATGTCTATAGTATATTTATTTAAATATCTTTAACTCTTATTGGATGTATATTAACATATGACCATCCTCCATCATTCATTTTAGACAAATCTTCTTCAACAATTTTTCATTTTGAGATTATTTTTTCGACATTTAATTCTTGATGTTTTTATTTAATTCCATTACTTGTACTGAATATTAATGTCCCGAAAATATAAAAAACTTAGACAACAACTTTTAAATTTACATGATTTGCATCAAAAATGATCATCAAATGATATTGCTAATGAATTAATAAACAGTGATTGTCCACCACCTGAAACAAGATACGCCGTTATTCATTATATAAAATACACAATCAAAGCAAGAAGCAGGTCAGGAAGACCAAGAACCACAAGAACACCAAGATTTATATCGTTAGTTAAATACAGTATGAAGAACAATTGAAGAAAATTCATTCAAAAAAGAAAAGAAACTATTAAAAAGAAAACAATTAAATTCTTCATATGGCAGTATTCAAAAAGCACTGAAAGATGATATTGAAATAAAACTTTGAAAAATGGCACGTTCACAAAAAATTAGTTCTATGCAACGAGATGAAAGAGTAAAAAGTGCAAGAAAATTATCAAAAAGATTTGGAATAAAATCAACAAGATCAAATTCAAAATGGAAACGTTTAATAAACACGGACTTTAGTGGTCATATCAGTTTAGTACAAAAACATAATAGTAAAAATAATTTTATTTGGTCTAAAAGCAAAACAACAATTCCACTTGATATACAAACAGTTGGACAATAAACATATAGTTCCAATTTCTTAATATGTGGTGAAATCTCATCTCGTAGTTTAATTCCAAATGCTTCAACAATTTTCATTGACGACTGGTTGAAGTCTGCATGCCAAAAGATTGTCAAGAAAAGAATTACAATGAATAGATTTCTATATATTAAATTAGTAGAACAACAGTTGAAACCTCATGTCGATGAATTATATGGTGATGTTGATGTTATATGGCAAGATGATGGTGATTCAAAATACTGATCTCATTACGCATTAGAACAAATAAATAAGGTTTTCAATGATCGTGTTAAACCTGAAGAACAAGCTGATAAAATGGCTGATATTTGACTAAATGAAAATATATTGGGTTATATCAAAGAGAAACTGGAAGAAGAGGAAATTAAAAATATATCGATGTTGTAAAACAAAATTGTAGAGAATTGGAGAACAATTAGTCCACAAATGTGCTTAAAATTGATGAATTCAATACCAAGAAGATTACAATGTTTAATCAACAAAGAAGATTATCCGGTCACCAAGAAAAGACTGTAATGATTTATGAAAATGTAAAATATTCTGTTGTTTGTTATTGTATTAATAGTGAAAATTAATTTTTCTAGATATTTCTTTTGAATAAAATTTTTTGACTCGTTTGGGACATGACAAAAAAATCTTCTCTATCATACGAGCCTGTATATCTCCCCTGCAATAAGGACTAGAGAGTTGAAAATTTAGGGCAATATTTATCTAGTTACAAAGAATTAGACCTCGATTTTAAGCATTTTTAGATTTGTAATAAGAGAAAACGAGCAATTTTTGCTAAGAACAATCAAGACTTTTGGATCATCCTGTAGTAACATATATTCTGCTTACAGCACCAAAATCCTATTGTATCTATCTGTTCCAAAAATAACTCATGAAAAGTATGAAGAAAGATTGCATTCATCCGAATGACTGCATAAAATGTCTTTTGTCTTTATGTGTAAATTATCAAGAAAAACAAAAAAAATTTCTTTAAAATGAAATCACTTCGTTAATTTTGTCAGAAAGCCAAAAGACCAACATCAACATGATAACTATAATAGTGTAACTAAGTTGAGAAGTGAAACTACTTGAACCTGATTTACATATTGATGCAGTCCCACCTGTTTCGCCACTTGGCAAACAAGCTGTTGGATAGGTTATACGACACTCATTCTGGCACTCAGCAGTTCTGCACGATGTGACTGAAACATTTCCTTGAGCTATCTGTGTGCAGGCATGACCAGTGCAACAAAAGCAGATACACCAATCACCATTGGTCAATTGGGCAAATGTGAGAAAGGCGATCATACCCATAAGAAACAATGCCATAATTTTATCTATAAAAACTGATAGTTAGAAATGCAACATGAAGATGAAATATGAGCTATTCTACTCTCTGCAAGACAGAAATTCAATGTAATGTGTCCATTGAGGACGAAACGGGCAACGTGTTTATCTTCTAACAGATATACAGAAACACGTGAAGTACTAACTTGCTTTTTATCTTTATACGTAACCTTCTTTCGTCCCGCGTTTGTTTGCTCTCACCAAGTCATATTTTGTATAGTCGTTTGCATCATTTGAAAGAACAGTAACACAACAAAACTATCAAACCTAGAGGTATTTTTCGCAACCATATCAGATGTTGAGTTTGAGTGAGCTGTTGAAGACAACACACTCAAGTCTACGCACACCTGCATATCCACCATTATACTACTTTTATCACCTATGTGATTAATTCTTAACATTTTTGCATGCAACTGTAGCTAAGTTCACGATCTTTCCACACACAAAATATGAGTTCATTTGCTCGAATAATGATGTTACTGGATGTCTCTGACAATACGCATCATCAACACGGTAACGGTAACTTTGCCATTGAGTGTGTGAGTGGTTAAGTAGGGTCTTCTCTTTACATACCTACACATACATCCATCCATCCGATGCTGAACCGAAACTTATAGCACCATGCTGATAGCATCACCTCAACATACCGATTAAATAAAGCGGACTAGAAATGATCGGATTATATTTATCTCCGACATCATTGAATAGTTCACTTCACCGCTAAATGATGAGTCAATGAATTTATATCGACAGCGAATATCTTCAGCTTTAGAACGAAGCAAGGCGAGAAGAATAGCATTCGATCCTTTTCCGCAATCGATATCGACAGCTCGATGCACCGGATTGATTATCTTATTGTGTGAACGCAATGTGGTTTGAATGGTACGAATAAATCGATAGGCTTCAAGTACGCCAAACAACGAATCAAGAGAAGTTGGATAGATTGAATGAAGAAACAAATCCCTATTAAGATTCGACATTCGAACGAAACATTGTCATTAGAAATAGATGAGAGTGCAAGATAGCTGGTGGTGGTTGTTGCTACAATAAGGCACTATATGTCATAAGTTGATAAAAATACTAGTTTAAATGTTCATTGTCAACTCATGTCATGAAAATCATTAAGAAGACTAGCGGTTAACTGCGATTTTACCGATCCGACTACTGGCTCTATTTACCGCGGTAAACTTCTAGTATTTGTCAGTTAGCCGCGATGCACTGATAATTTTTTCGGATAAAACTCAATTGCTTTTGCTTGATATGGAACTTAGAGAAATTGTAATTTTTTCAGAAAACTATTAAATTTTCAAATTTTTTTCACAGTTTGACATGCTTCAGACAATGGTAGCACGCTGAATCCACCTGAAGCATCGACACAGCATGAAAATATCTTCTAGCCTAGATTCAGTTTAGAGCTTCCTCCTGGTTTTTCATTGATCGCAACCGGCAAACCGATTTTTCTGTTACAAGATGTTATCTACTCAGAATACAAGGTACATTGAAGATAAATATCATCTTGACTATCAAGCTTTTATTGTCTTATAGATATCGCCTGAGAACTGTATGAACAACGATCTCAAAAAAATTTTGCACCGATATCCATTTTCACATCAGTTTTTGTGTTCATTTCGCTACTGAAGAAGTACAAATATAACTTATATACTGGTCAGGCTATCAGGTATTTTTAATCTATTACAAACGAGAAAATAGATCAACATCCAACTGTGCATGAGAGGACAGTAACAAAGATGAAACGGCCACGCAATAGAACAATTTATGATTATATATTCGTAAATTTTTGAATATTTATATTCATTTATGTAGTGATAAAGATTTCTTATAAAAGAAGGCGAAAAGAATAGTAAGAAACTATGCTATCTTAAATAAAACGAAGCATTATTATATTGTCAATTTTAATTTGATCATATTTGTTTCATCCATCTTTAAAAGAAAATGACTCTAATACTAATGTTTCAAAAGTCGGAAGAGAAAAATTAGTACACGTAAGAATAATTCAATTCATTGAATTCGAAAACAACAAATGATTAGATTTAATACAGATTGCAGAGGTAACTTGATTTTGTTTTATTGGTCATACAAAAAAAAACCAAGAAAAGTAAACCACAAGATTTTTAATCAATTGGCATGACAACTGAAATTTTCAAGTAATACTTATGATGTTTATCAACACATGATAATAATTACTAAATCTGAATAGTAATATTTAAAATAATAAATAGATAAATGAATATTTTCTTATTAATATGTAAATAACATTACTATCTCTTGGTCATGCTACATTCTTATCCATGAAAATCATTGCTATGACAATAAAAACCCAGAACTCTGATTCTATTTCTATTATGATTTTAATTATATTCTTTGAATCTTATTGAATTTATCCAACACATATTTCTTACTATGATCTTGTGATATGAATGATATGTTGATTTTTACGTTTGCAAACTATGGTTCATTTCTTATCTCATTGCTTTGATGGCCCATATGATAGTAATCTTTTTTTTTTCTTCTATTCAATCTAAAACAAATACAAATTATCTAAACAATCAGAGCCATACACTATTCTTTTTATAAAATTATTAGTATCATGAATAGTCAAATAAGCTTATGAAACTATTTCTAGTAAGCAACTAATTTCATTGAATTGTTGAGATTATTTAACATACAAATTCAATCACCCCATTTAGCTAATCTATTATGTTATATTCAGAAGAAAATCTTAATCATATTTTAGATTAGATACAACAAAAAAAAACAATGTCATATGAAAGTTAGTTCTAATCTACATGAATTATGTTAATTTGTTTTAATTCTTTAAATATCTGATACAAGTGCATAATAAGGCCACTATAGGCACACACACAAAAAAATGATAAACATGCTAGAGTTTTATGATTTTGTTTGTATTGTTTTTAATAAATCACGATTACATTGCTCAGCACTAAACAATCATAAGAAATAAATGATTTCTTTTTTTTTATGAAATATAAACTCACTTTTCAAGTAATGATCGAGCTCGTTCGACAACATTAAAATTTTCAATTGGTTCTTCTACCTAAAAAAAAAATGACAAGATAAATTCGATCAAAAAAAAGTATTTTAATAAACTAATTGATAATTCAACATACAGCATAACTTTTAACCATATTTTCATCTTCATCAGAATCTAAATAAATAAATCTTATGAAGAATAATAATAGAAAAAATAAAATATAACTTACCAACAAGAACACCTTGTGCTACAAATGGTTGTTTTTGTTTTGATTCGATGATATTAACACGATTTTCATTATTCTATATAAAGAATTGATTTTTAAACATATTAAATAATTTAGAAACATACTTGAGGTGTTTTTCGTCGTAACATAGATAATTCATTTTCAACAATAACGAGACGTGCATTAAAATTTGAAACATCCGATGATGATAAGGAGTTCTAAAAAAATAAATAGTTTTGATACTTTTTTGAAAATTTTATTGAATAGAATTTACATTTCCTGGATGAGTTTCTTGTAAAATTGAAGTTACATTTTCAAGTCGTGCATTAATATTTTCAACTTTAACTTTTAACATTTGAATTTGTTCTTCTAAACGATTTATTGTTGTTGCTGTTATTGGTTCATTAAATTGAATTTGATTTTGATGATTAGCTAAAACATTTTCTTCTTTCATAAAAATTTCGAAACCGTAACAAAAAGCAAATTATGTTACATGATGATTCAAATTCTGATCCATCTAACCATTTTTCAATATGTTGTTGTTTTGGCATAGTTAAATGATGATTTTCATGATGTTTTTGAATTGATGCTAATTCGTCTATATCATAATTTTTTTTATTTGTTGTTTCCAAACCCATATCACGTAATGGATGAAAACTATTTGGAACAGATGTTTGTTCTAGAGATTATTATGAATCTTCAGCTATTGATATATATTGATTTATCTACTTACGAGTACTTGATGATATTCGTTTCTTTTCTCTATCACCATTGGTCAACTATAAAGAAAATACAGATATAAGTTGTTCAATAATAATATAACTGATAATTGATCCTTGTTTGGAAAGAATCCTTGTATTTGAATAAAAAACGAAAAGAACTCGCATATCAAGTATTAATGTATAGTTTAAGGTTATCTGACCTTTTCTAGCCCTAAATTTTCGGCTTTTTTTGTAGTCACTGTATAGTCTGAAGTAGTATCAATCTAATGAGGGGAAAACATATTCAACGGTTGAACATCATTCGACGTCACATTATGGATACGAGTAAATCTCGGTGAGACTAAGAAAAGTTTAAAAGAGTTGGGGTCCATGACCTACACCTTGAAGAGTTATGGCCATTTTAATGAAACTTTACTGAAGGCAAAGCATTTTCAAAGATTCACAGCAAAAACTTTCGAGTTGAAACTATGTCTATAGGTACGTTTGATAATCATTAGATAGTCTTGAATGTGTTTGACAGGAAAACGAACATGTCTTTCTCAAGATAGTCAATATCTAAAAATACAGCGGTTTACCGTAGGAGGACACAGTAATCGAGTCTACTTGAGAATTGAATATCTCGAAGTAAGATATGTTTGTTTTCGTTCAAACTTTCAGGGCTATCTAATGGCTATTAAACATGTCTATAGACATAATTTCAGCTTGAAATTCTTTGTTTTGAATTTTCTGAAAATGCTTTACCCTCAGCAAAAATTTCATTGAAACGACTATAATTCTTCAATAGTAGGCCATTGACCCGAATTATTTTAAACTTTTCTTAGCCTCATCGAGATCTACTCGTAGCCTCAATGCAAAGTCGAACAATCTCCAACAGTTGGATAGGTTCCGGCGTGAGTAGATTTTTAGATCCAAAAGTTGTTTTTACACATTAAAAAATTCGAGAAGAAATCAAATTATCGAAAGCTGTACGTTGTTTCACATTTTTCTCAAACCAACTTTTTCATGAAAAAAAAGTGCAGAAACGTTCCCGTTTCTTCGACCTACTACGTTCGATCAGGCTGGAATTTTCTCTACAAGGACTAGATAGGTTTGGCCATCAATACTTTTTATCTTAAAATATTGTATTGCTAATGGTTATCAGTTCTTAGAAAAAAAAACAACTCTTTGTAAAAAAAAAAGACATTCGTTTTTTTTATGGAAATCTCCATATTTAAGCTGTTTTATTTGAAAGGAAGAAAATAGCAAGCAACCAAAAAACACTAAACAATTTTTGGCTCTCGGGATGCCTATTTCTCTTCTCCTTGACAAGGTTTATGTGCTCTAAAAGTTTTAATTTTTTCTGATGATCCGTTCTCTAAAACTGCTCGAGAACGACGGGGATCGCTCACAAAAAGAGCAGTCAATTTCGAAAAGTGTGAAATTATGTTTTTTTTTTTGCATACTATTCGCAGTATTTTATTCATGTACAGCGTATTTCAATAACAGTCATGTGTATAATAGTAACATATGGATACGCACATTATGAAAAAATAATGCGGATCATTTTTTTTTTTGTATTAGTAGTTACTCTCATTATGCACATTTTGTCCTTGCTTTCTCTAGCAAGAGATAGCTATCGATGATATCTGATGCAGATCAAAATTTGAGGACTGTCTTCTACTTTTCAAACTTATGGCATAATTATGAGACAAGTCTAAATGAAATTAAATCACTCGAAAGCATCTTTGTTTTTATTAAATTAAGAATTTTTATGTTGACATACACGGGCTGAACCAATTCCTGGTCTTTTCTGTTGTTGTTGCTGTTGAATCGTATTAATTTCTTTACATTCTTGCCTTATAAGTGTAATAACATCACATGCCATTTGTAATTTTCTTTCAGCAAAACCTGTTATAAAAAATTGTTCTTTTGTTATAGGTGGTTTATAACTGAAATGATCGCGTAATGCCTAAATGTTTGTTTTTTTCGAAAATAAAATATTTTTTTTTGTCAATGTAATACAAATATATATTATTTACTTTATACATAGTATCGATAAAATGACTGTCGGTTTTACCATAAAAATCACAGTTACATTTATCAAGTAAAGTTTTAGCAAATAATGGATTAAAATCAAGAAAAACATAATGATAAATTTTTAATAATTCACATGGATTGCCTGTTTGAAGTCTATTAAATTAAAAAAAAATCATACTTAAAGAATTAAATTGATATATAAAATATAACTAACGATTTATAATCAACATCACGAAATTTAATAAAACGTAATTCTGTTTGTAATTTACGTAGATAATTTTGAACATCACCTGTAGACAACATTATTAATATGAATTTTGTTCAATCGAAATCAGCGAACAAACAAATTTTATCATTCCATCGTACCAATGACTTCAGTGAAATTGTCTCGGCGACCTCTATTGATAAGTATGAAAGAATGATGAGAAGCACAATAAGTGGAAACCAAATAATCATATCGAGTTTATATAAAGACATCTTTTCTTATCATTTTAAAATGATTGTGAATGAAGGACGCGAGAATATAGAAGATAACTCGAAGACTTCTATTTCGGTTCAAAAATTGAAGCACAATATTCTAATGAACAACAAAGACTAATCTTCTTTGGCATTGATTGATAATTGTCTTCCTTTCAATGAAGAAGTTCGGTTTATTTCGAAAAATCTTTTGTATTCGATATTTTCAAAGTGAAATGTAATTTTTGATCCAATATTTTATCTAGATTTTGTTTCTAAGATAAACTACGAGGAACGTTGCCGAAATAACGGATGCAATGAAGTGAATTCTATCGACAAAAACAAGCTTCCACTATATAAAATATTTCTTGCACTATATCAACACATTATTCACTTTTTTAAATAACAATTAATCAGTTGCCTTGAACATTTATCTAATTCGAAATTTTTCATTTTATAATCAAGTTCATTTCGATTAACATATATATATATATATGTTGTATTGAAGGCCGTGTACGCGTTCTTTCGTCAACGATCAAAAAGCATTGAAGGAAGGTAATATTCGTGTAATCTTCTGATAGGTTGAACACAGAAGTCATAGAAAGTTTTTGTTAATTTCTTTTTTGAATCAACTACAAATATAAAATATGACGTTAGTTACTATCGGTCCAATTTTTTTTATGATACATTATTATCTTCTTTGAAAGCTGTACCTCCAATCGTTTTCTATTTCATTTTTCAGTGACATCTAGCAATCTCTATGCTTATAAGAAAAAGAACAAGGTACACATTCATAGTGTGAAACAGCTGTTTATACTTTCTGAAAGAAAACGAGTGACCATGGAAAATGATCAATCGACAACTTCTGTTTCTCCTTTGGCATTAGGTGGTGCTATAACGGGTATATTGGTACTTATTGTTTCAATTATTTATTTATTCTTTCGATCATCTTCATCATCAAAAACGGATGAAACAAAAACTGAAAGTTATATTAAACCTGAAATTGATCGAAAAAAACCAACAACAAAATCGACAACGTCAAAACCTATAAAACAAGATACGAAATTAACAACGAAATTTATACATCCATGGTTATGTACATCATTACGAGCTCATTCAAATTCAGTAATTGGTTTAAATTTTAGTCATAATGATAAATATCTTGCATCAGTTGCTGAAAGTAATTCCATAATTTTTTATTTTTGTTTTCATTTTTGTTTTTATTTTAAATTGATGTTTTGTTCATATTTTTAAGATGATAGTGTTCTTTTATGGCCAACAAAAGAGTTTGATGGAAAAGAACATAAGTATATTTGATATTATTTATTAAACTTTATATAATTAGGTTTTTTAGACATACTCGTGTTAACATTGAATTTGATCAAGCTAATCATGTTGTATTTAGTCCAGATGGAAAGTAAAGAGACATAAAAAATATGAAAAATGAAATTTTCTTTCTTTTCTTTTTGTTTTATTTTAGAGCATTTCTTATTAATTTACTAAAAGATAATATTATTCGTGTATACAAATTTGAAAAACGTGCTGATGGTTTAATAACAAATGCTCATGCTGTTTTAGATTTTCCTAAAGTAAAAATATATAAACAAATTTATTTAAATTTATATTTTCTTTATAGAAAAATGGAAGTCCTATTGTTGCGATTGGCATTGCTTGTACGGGAAAATTTATTATATCAGCAGAAGTTAATAATAAAATCGTTGTATTTGATACTAAAGGTAAAGATTTTAGCAATTCAAAATTCAATAGAATATTTCGCATGGCCAATAAAATAAATCGTTGTTTTTCATTTATACGAGCCAACTTAGGTTTTAGTCATACGAATTAGTTTTTTCATTATGTAGAACGATCGAACCGTGTGAACATATCAAAGAAATAATTGTCTGTTCGTTTTTCGAATTGTATATATACCTTTGAAAACTAATAGTTGTAGTTGATATTTTGAGTATATCTCCAGCATAGAAGTAAGATTGCGAATGAATAATCATATAATCTGATGTCACTCGAAATTCTCTACAGCTCTGTGCATTTTGGTTTTAGACTTGCATTGAATTGTTGAAAAATATTCCGATTACAATGAAGAGAAACTCTCAGCTTCAGGTTTCCATAAACTAAGGCGGTGGAAAAAACATTTAACAACAACGTATTTTTGCCATTTATTCTATAATGTTAAGCAATTAACTCTAATCTAGATAGTGATTGTAATAGCCAATGGAGTTTTCTATCTAATGCATTGTATACTACATGAATTATAACGGTAAGGTTTGGACACGGTAGTTTTTATGTTACGGAAGCTATTTTTTAACAACGCCATTTTAAAGAGAACAAAATGAGGGGTCGCTGCATTTTCTACGATCTTGGCTTAAAAAATTAAAAGTATTACAAAAAACGGAAAAGTTACCTTTTCTTCTTGTAGTCAATTTTCTGATTAATTTTGTGATACTTTTTAAGTGAAGGTCGTACAAAATGCAGCAGCCTCTCATTTTGTTCTCCTGAAAATAGCTTTTTAGATCTAGAGAGTATTGTGGCCAAATTTTTAGAAACCCTGTCATCATAGTTCATCTATTAGTATACAATATATTAGACAGAAATCTCCATTGCCTATTAAAATTATTATCAGGATTTGAGTTAATTGCTTGACATTATAGAAAAAAAAAATCAAAACTACGTTATTGTTAAATCTATTCCACGACCTTACATTTTTACGGCTTTTTTTAGTTTTGACTAAAAACATGTTATGAGCACAGTAATATCTTTTTTTTTCGAAAGTCATTATAAATTCAGATAGTGTGTAAAACTCTCTAACATTCTCTACCAAATCAGCTTCGACTTGCCATTATTTGCTGAAAAATTTATCATATCTTTTTTTTTAATGGTAATATAAATTTCCACTTTATAGTGGTGAAATTATGACTGAAATGTGGATAATTACGCATACAAGCGATTTGATTACTAGATAATAAAACCATATGTACTGCTGCTGATGTTAGATAAGAGTAATTGAAAAAAATTTGATATATTTTCCAGCAAATAATAGGAAGTCGAGATTGACAAGATGGACAATGTGAGAGAGTTTCACGCACTATCCGAAATTTACAATTATTTTTTGAAAAAAATTATTACTGTATGGAAGTCTGAAGACAAGGATCTCTTCAATGTAGTCAAAATAGGTTTTTTTTCAGCGGTTCAATGCAAGTCTAAAACCAAATACACGGACTTGTAGAAAATTTCGAGTGCTAGCAGAATATTCCCTAGACTGAAAGTATAGGGTCTAGAAACGGAAATTCGCCTGTGTCTGTCTGTCTGTCTGTCTGTAACACGTATGGTTACCATATGGTAACTATGTGATCGTTAAAATAAAAATAAATATATATTTCGAATGGCGCGCAAAGCCAATAAAATAAGATTTTCTTTCTATTCCCAAGACTGAAAGGCTAGCGTCTAGAAACCGAAATTCACCTGTGTCTGTCTGTCCGTCTGTCTGTCGGTAACGCAGTCAAAATGGCCATTTTTTTGGCACACGTGACCATTTTTATGGCATAAACGACCACTTTTTTGGCACAAGTGACCATTTTCGTGCCACAAATGGCCATTTTTTTGGCACGAGTGACCATTTTTTTGGCACAAACGGCCATTTTTTTACTAAAATTAACTAGGTAACTATGGTACAAATGAGCATGTAACTATGGCACAAACGGTCATTTTTTTGGTAGAAACGACCACATAACTATGGCACAAGTGACCATATAGCAATCATGGTACAAACAACTATTCCGGTAACTATGGTACAAATGACCATCTAAAGACTGATGTAAATGAACCCATAATAATCATGGGTAAAATGTCAATGGAATAACTATAATTTGGGTAGTGATGTAAAACGGCTTACTTACACAAGCATTTAATTAGTGAGAGTCAGACCAAATGAGCAGTATGGATTTAAAGAAATCGTTTAAATTATTCATTATTGTAAGATTGATTGTGCAATGTTGTATCAATGAATATCTAATTTATTAATAGTTTAGAATTAATGCGTGAATTTAAGCATAAAATATTGATTAATAAAACTCAAATTTTATGAATAATATAATTCATATTTTTGTACGTACAAATAGCGCCAATATAATTATAAAAAAATCGTATTGTTGTCTAATCTTATTAGGCGCTATTTATATTCATAAAAGCAAAAAAAAAATAAAACAAAAACGATAAAAAAAAATTAAATTTGTAAATGCATCATCTTTACTTAGAGTGAGAATTCTCCAAATTAAGTTTTCTGGTCGCCTAAGGTATACTGGTCATATTATCAATGTTGCGTATTACTTTTTTAATGTAGCTTTTTATGCTATTCCTTCCGTACATGTATTCTATCAGTCTAGGGCTAAGTGAATCGCTTGACGATGAACGTTACTTGTATGATTATTCTTTCGAAGATTTATTTCGTATGCTAGAACAATATTCAAACTATTGATTACAACTATCTGTTTTCAGGGATATATATATGTGTGAATGTTTGTTGAAATTTATTTTTGATTATTTATAGGTGATGTTCTTGATACGGTTGAAACTCATCAAGGTCATTTAAATTATGCTGCTGTATCTCCATGTGGTCGTTTTTTTGGTTCGTCTGGTTTTATGAGTGATGTTCGATTTTTTGAAGTTTGCTTTGAAAAATCCAATGGAAATTTTAAAGAAATTCGAAAAATATTTGATCTTAAAGGACACAATGCTCAAGTATTATGTTTTAGTTTAAATAAAGATTCAACACGTGCTGCAACTATATCAAAAGATAATACATGGAAATTATGGAATACTGATGTTGATTATATACATAAACAAGATCCAAAATGTTTATATACTAG